CAGGAGGATCACTTGAGCCCAGGAGTTTGAGGTTGCAGTGAGCTGTGATGATGCCACTGCACTCTATCTAGCCCAGGCAACAGAGAGAGACTGTCTCAAAAAAATAAGCATAATAAAAACATACAAAAAGTAACAGCAATATTAGCAAATACTATATTTACTATATGCAAGGCACTATTCTAAGCACTGAGTCAAGAAAAAGGTATAAGCTATACAGTTTTAATTCTTTATAATCCTTATAACTTTCAATTAGGTAGAGAAATCTTTGATGTTCCTAATGCAAATTAATCTCTTAAATTTTAATCCCTTAAATATTCTGGCAATAATTACCGGAACTTTACACACATACAGTGTATCTTTTGCCCTAACAATTCCACTTCTGGAAATCTATCCAACAAAAATAAAAACATTAACATGTTAATATAAATACATTATACAAGACTACTTGATGAAGTACTATTTGTAATAGCAAAAAATTAGAAATAACCTGTTTGAAGAAAACATGTTCCAGCCATAATATGGAATATTACATGTTTAAGAAGATAAATTCATATTTACTGACTTTGTAAAATGTCTAAAATATAGGTAAAAGAAAACGGCTACCAAAGTATGATCTTATTTATTTAAATACACATACAACCTATATGTATACTTATAGCAGTCAAGAAAAAGGTATGGAAGGATACACAGAAAACAGTAAGTAATCAGAAGGAGAAGAATATTTTACTTTAGCACTTTAGTGTTTTTATTGTTACAGCAAACAATTACTTTGTAAGGTCAAAAAAAAAAGTTTGCCAGGCACAACAGTTCAAGCCTGTAATCCCAGCACTTGGGAGGCCAAGGGAGGAGGATGACTTCAGGCCAGGAGCTCAAGACCCCGTCCCTACAAAAATTTTTAAAAAGCTGGGCATGATGGTATGCTCCTGTAGTCCTAGCTAATTGGGAGGCTGAGGCAGGACTGCTTGAGACCAGGAGTTCCAGTCTGGGCAACAGAGGGAGACCCTCTGGCCTCTTAAATAGTAGTAACAGTAAACTTTAAGAAACCCAATTTGGAACCTAATGACATAAAGTTCCTGTAAATTACTTCTACCAATTTTGTATACAAGTTACTTTAGTTCTTAAATGATTCTAAGAAACAACTTTCATTACTTCTGCAACTGGACAGATGAGTGTGATATAACCAGTCTGAAGCTTTAGTTAACTAATCAACTTTTTTTTTCAATCCACAAGATCCAAGTCATCCTGCTGCTCTCCTTAGAGCTACATAACATGTAAAGACATTCGCTTCAAAGAGGAGTATTTTTCTTGCACAAATAAGGGACCAGATGTTAATCTGCCAGTTGACCAGAAACTATACATACTTTGTAGCTTTTGCTCTCTTCAAAGGCCGTTATTAATAGACCATCTTACCTCTTCAAATTCCTCATATATTGTTTTATTTATTTCATGTCCATGAAAATGATAATACAAACAATTCATTCACAGAATTATTTTCATTAAGTAACTCATTTCGAGTTCATTTTGGAAAGTACGGTCCAATTTACTTCTGTAACGTTTGGCAGTCTAGTTACGTTTTTATTCCAAACAAGCTTTAAGGTTGTACCCTTTCTACTATAACAATCCAACTAAATATAAAAATGGGTTTTCCAAAGTCTATAGTCAAAAAAATGCCAACACAAATGCTTAGAATTAAAAACCCCAAAATTTATCTCAAAGCCACCCATTTCTCTTCCATGCTATCACACTAGTGGAAACCAACAACTCTCACGTGTCATAAATATTGCAACAGCTTCCGAAGTATCATCCCACTTCTCTCTTGCCATTCTCAAATAAACCCATTCTCCACACAAAAGCCAATCACATTTTTTAGAACATAAATAGGATCACTTCCCACTACACCTAGAAAAAAAGCCTTAACGTAATTTGTAAATGGCTCTGCCATAACCTAGTGTGCCCTGCCTAACTCCCCAGATTCAAATCATACCATTTTCTCAAGTGGCTAAAGAGCAGCCGTGATTCTTTCAATCTGTCAAATGTGCCAAGCAGCTCTCTTCTTGCCTCAGGTCTTCCACGTGCTGCTCCCTCTGCCTACAACATCTCTTCCTCAAACTCACCGTGACTTCCATCGTCCTCTTACCCATGCTCCAGGTCTCAAATAGCACTTCTTTCAGAGTACATTCCAGCTCCACTGGACACCCTATTTAAATTAGATGCCCCCTGTTATACTCTCATCATATTCTGCACTTTTCCATCTTGCCCTTTACTACAATTAGTAATTACTATATACTTTTGTTTAGCATCTGGCTTTTTCCACTAACCACGTCCACGATGGCATGACATTTATTTGTTCACCATAGTAACTCCAGTGCTTAGCGCGGTGGCTGCCATATTGGATGCACTATCTAACAAAATAAAGGAAGCCTAAATTTGGAGCAAAAGCAAGGGTCTCTTCTATGTTAGCTCCTCAAAAACTGTATCCAGATTGCTACACCAACAATTTGAAACTAGGTACTTCTACATCTCATTTCCATTCTCACATTAAAACAAACCTACATCACACACTGTGGGTACCTATAAAATCTAACTCCAGTCTTCCATAAGCTCTATAAAAATCAACATTTCTGCACCCATTTTCTATTCAGCCCAAGATTCCAACACAGAAATCAAAGTTATTCAAATCATAGTTCAGAAATTACTGGAATGTGTAGCATTCCTATAAATTAATGGGGAATATGAAGGAAAACATAAGAAAAATTAAAGTATTTAAATGGCATTTTCTTATCACAATTGCAAGGCCTATATGGTCACCTATCAGTCTTTGAGGCAAACTTAATTGCTATCTGGGAAGATTAAACTCTTTAACTGAAACAACTTTCAAAGAATGGAATTCATGGTAAAACTACTGTTGTGGCTGCTGTCTACAAGAAAAATAGGAGCATATGACAATGATCTAAAACAAAAAATAGGAACACTGTTCTTCCCAATATCTGAGATTCTCTTCCCATGTCCCCTTTGGAGCTAAAGCATATTCAATTTTAGGCAGGAAAGGACCAAGCCACTGTGCATAACTCAGTGCTTTTTAACTCCTTGGGGAGTATCTTTACAGATGAAGGAAATGAGGATCCAGAGAAGATGACAATATCAAACAGGAATTTAATGCCAAAATGCTTAAAAACAACTATAATGCTTTAAAAAAAACTTCACTGTGCAATACACTCCCTGGAAATGCAAATTAAAATACCCATTGTTAAAAACTATAAACGACAGAGAAAATGGGGTTTGACTGCTAACAGGTACGGGGGGTTGTGGGGGGAGTGACGAAATGTCCTAAAATTGAAAGTAGCAATGGCTGTGTTGTTCTGTGACTACGCGAAAAACCACTGAATTGCACACTTCAAAAGCGTGGACTGTACAGTATGTGGATTATACTTCAACAAAGCTGTTAAGACTATAAACATATTCAGGAAAAGGACACCAAATGATAGTTTTGGGTTCTGGGATGGGTTTTCGGGGGAAGCACCTCTCTTAGGTCTAAAAAGGGGGGGAACATAGAAATTCGACAAGTAGAAAGGAACTGTGAGCCTTCTCAGTAGTAAAGATGGAACTAGTACACGGAGCAATCTATAGTATTTTGGCTAGAAACCTGCTTAAGTGTGACAAAAATTCAGGGTGAAAATGGTGAGCCTTAGAATTGGAAGCTCTGAACAGCCATACTGAGAACCTGACAAATAACATGGAGCTTCTTACAAGGTTTTGTCCAGGAACAGCAGTGGACTGAAAGGTACCTGTATGTATTCAAAAGGCAGACTCCTACTCTAACAAGAAAAGATCTGAGTGACTCACCACTTTTTTGAGCTGTGCCCATACTAGTCCCTTAACTTACTATAGGTTCCAGAAGTCAAAAGCAAGTCCTGGGCCATTAACAATTGAGGCCAACACTCTGGTGGGAACGTACTACGCGGAAGCGCAGCGCTATTAAGGTGTAGATGCGCACAGAACGATAGCAGAGAATGACCCAATACAGTTCAATACCCTGAAACAATGTGGAAAACAAAAGCCAATGCAAAGATCAAAGGGAGCATCGATTTTAACTGTTCCTTTTTTTTTTTTTTTTTTTTTTGAGACAGAGTTTCGCTCTGTCGCCCCGGGTAGAGTGCAGTAGCGTCTTCATAGCTCACTGCAACCTCAAACTGCAGGACTCAAGCGATCCTCCCGCCTCAGCCTCCCAAGAAGCTGGGACTAGAGGCGCGCACCACGACGCCGGTCTAATATTTTTTCTATATTTAGTAGAAACGGGGTCTCACTTTTGCTCTGGCTGGTCTCGAACTCCTGAGCTCAAGCGGATCTTCCCACCTTGGCCTCCCAGGGTGCTAGGGTTACAGACGTGAGCCGCCGGCTCAATTCCCTTTCCGATATCTACCCGTACCACCCTAATGAAGACATCGCAGGTCCATCCGGAACCTGAGCCTCCGGTAACCCAGCGCCTTCTCTTCCGGGCGGTACCCCGCCCCCACTCACGTGGGACTCAGACCGCTCCACGGTCTCGCGGCCAGCAAGCCACAGAACCTGTTCAAGTCAACTAACTTTTATTAGGCGCCTGCTGTGTGCAAAGTTCTGAGCTCTGTGTTGGGCTCAAGAAGTGTCAGTACGCCCTGGGCCTGGTCTCCGCCCTCTAGAAAAAAGATTTCGACCCACCTTACGTCCTAGGCCTGCCTTCCCTCCAATTCCTACCCGTGCCTTCCGCTGGCCCGAGCACCGGCCCGAAGCCTTCGTTCGGCCCGCGGGCCACCGTGGAAAGGCCTCGCGCCCAGCGCAGACCCACGCTCAACGAGAGTGGTCGCCACTAATGACCTGGCACCCAGCGAGGGTCCCCTACCCACCACGACCTCCGCTGGAAGGGAGGCGACTCCTTGGCCCGCATTCCCCAAGCAGTGAGGGTCACAGACGAGCAAGCGCCGCCGCCTGAACGCGTGCGCGCCGCCGGCCCGGCCCCCACTTACGGCGTGCAGCGGTCGCTATACTCGTTCGCGATGGTCTCGATGCCGCCGGCGCGGGCCACCGCGACGTAGCAGCTCTGGAAGCCCAGGTCTATGCCCACCACCGACATGGCGCCGGCTACGGTCGGGCCCGGGTCCGGCTGCCGAGACAGGACACGGACCCCGGCGGGGCGAGCGCGTGGAGAGCGGGCCGCGTGGACCGGGGCACCGGGGCTACTGGGGGGTGTCCACGTGAGCGCCTAGGTCCTGGCGGGGAGACCGCAACCAAGGGCGCAGCGCAGGCCGGCTCCGGCTCAGCGGCCGCAGAGGAGGCGCCGGTAGCGGGGGCGGAGAAGATCTCGAAGGATCTCGTAGGGACGGGAGCAGAGCCGCAGCGCGAGAACTGAAAAAGAACAGAATGTTCTCGCGATATTCCGGCTCAGGCGCTCTCCCCAGAAGTCCCGCCCCCAGACGTAAAGATACGTCACGTCCTGGCACGAGGACCTGGGAAGGGGCGGCTAAAAGATGGCTGGGAAGCCGAGCTGGCCTATTGAGCCTGCGCACTGCATCCTGCGCAGCGCGCTCCGCAGCAGAGCACCGCCCCTTCCGGAAGGAAGTAGTGGAGTGGGAGTGAGGCGGTAGTCTGAGGGGGTGCTGCGTGCTGCTTCTGTGGCTCTTGTCTCAAAGGAGCTTCGCGTGCTAGGGTCTTCTCCACTCCCCCTGCGGTTTGTGGGGACCCCCAAAATGAGAGCGCGAGCGGATCGGATTCCGCAGGGCGCTCCGTTCCCTTCAGGGTCAGGTGGCCAGTCGCAGAGAAGGCCGCCGTTGGAAGCGGCCCGGAGCAGGGCCTTCCGTCGCGCTCCGTCAGAGTCCGAGACGGTGCCCTCCCCAGCGGAGCGAGGAACCCGCTCCCGGTGACACAGCCTTGTCGCACCGTTCTCTGAGCCGCTCGTGTCCTTACGTCAAACTGAGGGACCTGCAGGACTTCAGCCTTTCAATCCCCTACACACGCCAAGCACCTGCCCAGTGCTAGGTCCTGAGTTGGGTGCAGGGGACAGAGACAAATGACACCCTGGCCGGCCTGGAACGTCCACCCAGACCAGGGAGTCAGTGGCAGGGTTGCTTGAAGCAATGAACGACCCTTAAGCTTCAGGGCCCCTCACTTGCATGGTCCCCTGGGAGAGCAGCGAGTTGCTGACAGTTACGGAGTGTTCCAGGTGGACAGGGGAAGCCGGTTTGAGATGAGGAGGCAATTCTGTGCAAGCATTGCTAATAAATTGCCCAAAGGTGTCTCAGAAGGAGAATCCGAATCTCCAAGTCTCCTGTAATGTGTTGTGATTTTTCATTTTAAATATTTGTTTTGTGATTTTTTTTAAGGGCTCCCACAGTGTATAAACTTCAGCTCTAGGAAACCTGGATATCCCCCTAAGGAAGGCAGCTAAACAAGTAAAGGGGACCCTAGTACAGGGTAGCAAGCGCTCTATGCACAGAATGTGGAGACAGGAGGACTTCCCAGAAGAGGAAAAGGCTGTGTTCAAATTGAAAAAACCAGCAATACAGGAGCTAGCGTGGTTTGAGCACTCGGAGAAGTCCTGTGTTGCTGAAGGGTAGACTCGAGTCGAAGATCTCAGGGCTAGAAAACTTGCCTTTGGACCACTTAAAAGTGAATGAGCAGCCAGCACTGTGGCTGGCACCTGTAACCCTAGTGATTTGGGAGGCTGAGCGGGGAGGATTGCTTGAGGCCAGGAGTTCCAGACCAACCTGAGCAAGAGCGCAAGAGCAAGACCCGTCTCGACAAAAAATAGAAAAATTAGCAGGGCGTAGTGCTGTGCCTGTAGTCCTAGCTACTCAGGAAGGTGAGGCAGGAGAATCGCCTGAGCCCAGCAGTTTGAGGCTGCAGTGAGCTATGATGACACCGTGGCACTCTAGCCTGGGTGACCGAGCAAGACTCTTGTCTCCAAAAAAAAAAAAGCGTTCTTACCACAATAAAGTTTAAAAAAAACGAATGCACAAAGACAAAGTCACATTTCCCTGTCCTTTTAAATGTCTGCATTTCCTGCTAACTCAGGAGATACTTCAGCCTCTAGGAGCCATGTGAAAGCCAGAGTTGTTTACCTGTAAACTTGCAAATTACCCCATAGTTCTCACATTTTGGCTAATCCAAATCTGGTTTTTTTTAAAGAGAAATACCAGGTGCTACCTGTGAAAGAGTAATGGGGGTAAAAGGAGTGGAGTCAGCAAGGAAAAGCCTATGGGAAAAAAGAGAGCAGGGCAAACAGATATTTGCACACCCACGTAGCTTGTTCACAACAGCCAAAAGCTGGAAACAGCCCAAATGTCCACTGATGGCTGAATGGATTTTTTAAATGTGGCATATACAGGCAACGGAATATTATACAGCCTTTAAAAGGCATGAAAAAGGCAAAGGAATGAAATTCTGATACATGCTGCAACATGAATGAACCTTGAAAACATGCCAAGTGAGAAACCCAGCACAAACAAACAAATTAGTATGATTCCTCGTGTATGAAGTACCTAGAATAGGCAAACACGTAGACACAGAAACTGGCACAGTGGTTAATACAGGCTTGTGGGTAGAATGAAACGGAGAGTTTATCATTTACAAAATTTTAATTTGAAATGATAAAGTTCTGGAGATGGCTCCTGGTGATGACTGCACACAGTGTGAATGTACTCAATAACACTGACGTGTGCACTTAAAAATGATTAAAATGGTAACTTTTATGTATATTTTGCCACAATTTTTACAAGTTTAAAAGAAGTTAGGTTGACCTTGACCTTTCTTTCTCTGTCTCCTATTTTTCTCCTACCTAGGGGGGATATCAATAACACCAAGGACAGTACTGATCCTAACTGTGACACAGGGTCCTATATCCATCTGTTTGAGTTATTAAGCACCGGGCAGGCAGCCCAGGAGGCCTAGGCTGAAGTGTCCAATCAACCTAAAAGATCACTTTGTCTGGGTTACTGTCTCTGCCTTCCTTCTATTGCGAGGCCTCCCTGGCCTTTAGCAAAATTGGCAAAAAAGTACATCTACACCTTTTTTTTTTTCTTCCTCCCAGTCCTACATCCATATCTTTTTTTTTTTTTCCAGGAATCCTGTGTTGAGATCATATCTTACTATCTTCCAACTTCATACCTCAGCTGCCTTGTTTGCCTTGGTACTGCTTTCAGTTTAAAATACCACCAGCCATATAACCTTTTTAACAATTTGTCCTTCTCAAAATAAAACATAACTAACATCAGTCACAGAGAGTACTCATCCTGCTATAAATAGTTTCCTGGATCATCAAACTTATAGCTCAAGAGGCTATTCTGGGATATTTAAATAAATGAAGTCAGAAAAAGTTATTTGAGAATTCTGAAGCATTTAAAGTGGCAAATTTCCAAGAATCACAATTCTAAACCAAGAAAGTTTCCAGAATTTTTAATGTTAGAGGCATTGTGTCTGGAGCACAAGTTCTTTTCATTCCAGCAGAGCATCTTGAGTATTTTAGAATCAGGAAGTTGTTAAATGCCTTTCTGTGGTAAAATGATAAAATTTAGTTTTAAGCGATCACAAAGGTATTTGTTTTTTTTTTTAATCTGTCAAATCCATTTATCGCAGTTCAGAAATTGAAGGCTGGACAAGATCAAATTGTAGGCAGTGGGCTCAGACACTGCTTGCTTTGGATAAGTCCATTGTGTGTCGTGAAAGTCCTTTCTGTGGCTCAAGGGCTTAGCTACTCCGTGATGGCAAAAATCATTCTGTGGGTTGGGATTTACACTTCTGAAGACTGGAGCATCGTGTTCTGTACAGGGCATCTCAGGCAGTCTACTCTTGAGAAAATCAAAGGGCTGGCTTCAAGGAGCAGTCAGATAAGGATGAGGGCTGAAGTCAGAGATGAGAAGGAACGATGCCAGGAAAAAGGACCCGTGACAGGCGGCTAGATGTTGGGCACGGAGGAGAAAACATAGGCGTCAGGGTCAGACACTAAAAACATGCGGCCTGATGTCAAGGACTGTGAAGGGTGATGACATCAGGCACAGGGGGATAAAACGTCAGGCTCTTACGGGACATGAGGTTAAAGGACTAGGTGGTGAAGGAGGTTGACATCAAAGGGTGGTATTTGTGTTGACAGGGCCCTGGAGGAAGACAACTGCAGTGGTGAGGAAGGCACCAGATCCAATGGGGGAAGGACGTTAGGGACGAGAGGCTGATGTCAGAGGCTGAAAGGAGTATGAGAGCGAGAAGGTTGCCACGCGGAAGGGATGAAGACGGCTCAGCCCGTGGGGCGTGCTTGATGTTAGGGTGCACCTATCGCACAAAAGTTGCCTCCATTCCACAGAGAGCCTATTTTCAAATATGCAATGTTCAAAGGTTGCCCAACACAAGACAAAAGGTTCTCAGTCAGCTGGGGACACGTCATTCTCCCTGCCAAATGTCTGATGGAATCCTGTCCTACAGGGGAGCAGCTTCTGCCACTTTTTGCTTCACAGGGAAGCTACGTGCACAGATAACGGTGCTTTTCTGGTCTCCCTGAGCGGACCAGTGTCTTTAGTCAAAGCAACACCCCTTTCTCAAATTCTAAAACTCCGATAACTCAATACTAGTGGTAGTTGCGATGTCTCTGCCCCCTACAGTGTGTGCCGGACATTGTGCTGAGTGACTTCAGTATCACAATTCACTTAATCTTCATAGCAAACCCGTCAGGCGTTACTTTTCCCATTTTATAGATAGAGATCTGACATGGTTAAGGAGCTTGCTCAAGTTCACACAGCTTTTAAAATCCCTGTTTCAACACTGGTCTGCTACAATTGCGCCACTGCTTTTTTTAAGCGCGTGTTCCTTGTACGGGTTTATTTTTTTTTTTTTTTT